GGGTGCAACAATGAATGAATGGAATCCCAAAATCTCTGTAGATGTTCATTGAAATGAAAAATAAACAACCTAAATTTAAAAAAAAAAAAATATCATCTTGAGACCAAGTTCAACTATTTGCCTAGAGTCAAGATTCGGTTGGGGTGTTTCTTGGTTTTTTGTCTTTTAATTGGAAGAGTCAGACCAGAAACCTAGATCCATTTCAGTTCTTTGTCCTGCCTTAATTCTGGTTACTAATGAAGTTCTAAAACCCAGTTTCCTTTCTAACTGGGAACCCCTATGGTGAGGTTCCTAAGTATCACTGTCTGATATCATTGATTATCAAGCAAAACTCCAACCCAACCTTGGAGAAACTCCACTCCAAACTAGACATCTGCTTCACTAAAGAAGGCATTCAGATGGTGAACAAACACATGAAGAAATGTTCAAAATCCCTAGCTCTAAGAGAGATGCAAATCAAAACAACTATGAGATACCATCTCAATCCAGTAAGAATAGCAAAATTTAACAGAACAGAAAACAACAAATGTTAGTGAGGTTGTGGAGAAAGTGGAACACTTATTCACTGTTGGTGGGAGTGTAAAATGGTACAACCACTGTGGAAGGTGGTATGGTGCTTTCTCAAAAAGTTGGAAACAGAAATACTAACCCTATTTTTGTTGTTATGTGCCATCAAGTCAGGAACAGGCCCTGGCTTACCCTTCAGTGAGTTTTCAGAGGCTGTACATTACACAGGAGGAGATTGCCCATTTTTCTTCTGCAGAACAGTTGGATTTGAACGGCATGCTTTTGTATTGGCAGTGTAACTTCTAACCTCTAGGCCACCAGAGCTAATCTAACAGCTCTGGTAGCCTAGGGATAAGAAACTACTCTGCAAGGCACACGGTTTAAATCAATCAGCTGCTCCCCAGGAAAAGGATGGGCAATCACCTCCTGTGCAATTAACTGTCTCTGAAAACCCACCGGAGGGTTCAGCTATGGGTGGGTTCCGACTCAACGATACATAACAACAACATCATCTACAGATTAGAGAGTTCTGATGGCCCAGAGGGAAGAACCTCCACTGCAATCTGGATCACATGTGGTTTGAGTTCACCAGCTGCTTCTCAGGAGATAGATGAGCAGTCTCCTCCCATGCAATTAACTGCCTCTGAGAACCAGCTGGAGGGTGAGCTATGGGACGGCTTTGACTCAATGGTAAACAACAACATCTATAGATTGGTGGTGGTGGTGGTGGTGTTATGTGCCGTTGAGTCACCTGTGACTCACAGCGATCCTATGACCCTATTCTGAGCCAGTCTCACTGACTTTGTCACACCTACCCTTATTACTCCAGTTTACTCTGTCAATCTATCTCTCCCAGGATCTTCCTCTCCTGTGCAAGCATGATGTCCTTCCCCAGGGTATGTGAGACAGAGCTTCAAAATCCTAGCCTCTAAGGAGAAACTTGGTTTCACACTCTCCAAGATAGACTTATTTTCTTGGCAGTCCATGATATGTTCAAAACTCTTCTTCAGCACTACAACTCAAAGGCATCAATTCTTCTTCTGTCATCTTTCGTCATTGTCCAGCTCTCTGATGCATAGCAAGTAATTGCGAAGACCATGACCTCAATCAGGCACACCTTAGTCTCTAGACTGACATCGTTGCTTGTCAGTACTCTGGAGAGGTCCCTGACAGCATATTTTCCCAGTGCAAAGATTAGGAGCTAGAAACCCAGAAGGTCCTAGAGCAGGACCAGGATTCCGGATTTGTGTGTGCATGACCCTGTCCTATCCCTGCGCTGCTGCAAGTTCAGTCTTGGGGATCCTCAGAGGAAACCAGCTTTTGTTACCCACTTCTAGTCCTGCCTTTTTTTTTTTTTATTTTTATTTTATATTTGTTTGCTTATAGAATTCGTATACATTTGTGTTCCACACTATCCCTCGTTCACGTTGTGTTTCATACAGTAAAAGAAGAAGAGGGTTTGCTCAAGCAGAAAGGGTTTTGGTAGACGCCAAGACACTACGGGCAGGCGCCAGTAGTTTTTGGAGTTTCGCTGAAACTTGGAGGCGGATCCTAGCAGAACTGCTCCAGCACCCCCTGGAGGGCACGGCTGGGATGAGGCCGAGCTGGATGGCTGCAGCGAGCTGGTGAGTCGCCTCTACAAACTGGCCCTAAACGTGGGGAATGAACGTGTGACAAGAGGAGCCAAGGATATCCAGCCCTAAGCAAGGGTCCAAAGTCCCGACGGGTGTTCCCTGGACTCGCCTTGCGCCTGGGGACAGATGCCAGCAGATTCAGCCACGAAACACACACCACGTGGCTCCAAATCAGTGCTGGGACCCAGCCAGCTCTTGCCTTTCCCTCCACGTCTCTGCAAAGCTACTAAAACCTCTCTCTTCCCCCAGCAGGAAAAGCATACGTTCTTTCCATATAGAGGAGAAATTGTTCCGCCTGTGAGTAAGCCTCTTGGCAGCGGCGGAGACCCGGCCCGCAGCGCGCTGGGCAGGAAGCGGCCAGCGTCGTTACCTCTGGGCTCCGGGAAGACAGCTGGGCTCGCAGCCCGGAGCCCACGGCCTCTCGGCCCCGCGCCCACGGCCCCCCGCCCGGAGCCCGCGGACCAGCCGGTGCGGTGGGAGCCGAGCGTGGGGATGCGCTCGAAGACGCAGAGGACGGAAGGGGGCGCTAGAGGACAGTTCTCCCTGCACAAAACCAGATCCGAAAGCCGCAGCGCCTGCCAGGAGTACAGGGACTTTCCGATCCCGGAGCCTGGGTCAGCAGCCACCACCGGGTCTGAGTCAGAGGTGACTCAGGTGTGCCCGGGAAGGCAGTGCTGGTTTTAGGCCGTCGTTTCTAACCGCCCCAAGTTCTTAGTGCCAGAGCTAGGTGGCAGAGGGTGAGTTCTTTCCCTGGCGTCTCATTCATCTTCAGTGACCAGGTCCTCCCAGCCGCCCTCGGCCAGAGGACCCTGCCCATGCTCTTGGAGCAATTCTTTCTGGATCCTCATTTCACCCTTTCCCTTCTTGACTTAGCTGTGCTGCAATCCCAAAGGCACACGGTTCCAATCCACCAACAGCTTCGAGCCCCCTTCCAGGTCATTTGCTGCCTCTGAAAACCCATTGAAGGGTCAACTTTGGGTGGGTTCCGACTCCATGACACACACTAACTTGTTGACTTAATGTGATCTGTCAAGGACCCACTAAGTTTATGGACTCGGGGTGAGGGTGGGAAAGGACAGGGAAGCCAAGTTGTGGGGGCTGGTGGGTCAGCTGGTGGTGGAGCGGAGGAGAAACAGTGTAAGGGGCTCCAAAAAGGGGGGAAAGTGGAAGAAATTGAGGAACCCCTAGTCAAAGAGAGTCCAGTGTCAGAAGTGGGACTGGCTCTGAAGGCTCCAGCTAGTGGTCAGGGCCCTGATGGCATCTGTCCAAGCCAGTGTTCCTGCATGGCTGCCACGCACTGGGCCTGAGAGACACTTGGTGTCCTCAGACCTGGGAACATCAGCCTCCAGGGACGAGCAGGTTGATTCAGCAGCATTTTACAGGTCGGGTCTTTTAGGGGCCGAGGTGTGAGACCCTTGGCACAGAGGCCCTGGATTCCCTGACACACTGCCTTCTGGGGCTTCACCCTGGAGACCTAACTGGGGCAGGAGAGGTGGGGACAGTCCCTTGTGAGACCCAGACTCTGTCCCTGTGCTTTGGGGAGACCAGATGACAAGAGTGCCCTGCCTTGCATTGGGAGTGTAAAGACAGGGATCCCTGAGAGCGCTGCCACCTGCCTAAGGGCATCTCCATCCCCCACCTTCACCCCACCCCCACAGCGTCTGGACACCTGAGACTTTCATCCTGTCTGCACAAAAATGCTCACTTCCAGGTCTTTCTGCCCCCGGCAGAGATCGTCCCCATCCCCCACCCTGGAGTCTAGAGTCCAGCTGGGAGCAGCGTGAACTGAAGAGAATGGACAATGTAAGAGGGAGTCCCGGCCCTTCCTTCATACCACCACTGCCCACCACCAGATCCCTGGAGGGGGAACAGAAAAGTGGGCATGAGGAGTAAGATTATGGGCAGATGGCCTAGTGGTAAGAAACTGCACTGCAAGCCCAAAGGCTGTTATTGTTGTTATGTGCAATCGAGTCGTTTGCGATTCATAGCGACCCTATGTACAACAGCCCTAAATCCTGCTCTATCCTGTGCTAATCGCATTGCCTCTGACACACCCATCCCGATTACCCCAGTCATTGAATCAATCCAGCTCATAGAGGGCCTTCCTCTCCTGTGCTGTCCCTTCACCCTCCCAAGCATGATGTCCTTCGTATGTCAGACAAAGCCCCAGAATCCTTGCCTCCAAGGAGTAGCCTGGTTTAACACAGTTCAAATCCACCAGCTTCTCCTTCCATGTGATTTACTGCCTCTGAAAACCCAGTGGAGGGTCAGGTGTGGGTCAGATCCAACTCAAAAGTACACAACAACCACCACCACCATCACCACCTGGGAAAGCAAAGTAGGCCAGCTTCAGGATTTGAGGAGGAGAGGCCAGAAAGTGCCCTGCCGCCTCCTGCCCCTTTCCTGTGCACCTGGAGAGGGGACCTGACTCTCACTTTTCAGAACCGGGTGTGGAAGACCAGGAGAGAGCGACACTACCTCAAGGTGCAGGTGACTCGATGGCACATCATAACAACAACAAACCAATTGCCATCAAGTCAATGTCAACTCTTGGAGATACAAGTATGTCATACTAAAACTCTGCTCTATACCTTTCACAGCATCTGATTTTCAAAGGTAGATCATCAGGCCTTTTTTTGGAAGTACCTCAAGGTGGACTTGAACCATCAACATTTCCCTTAGAAGCCAAGCATATTAACCATTGATGCCAACCCTAGGACTCCTCTCAGCAAATTCCTAGGAGGCCAGCTGTACCTGATGGCTAAGATTCTCCACCTGTCTCTTCACCTGTCAGTTGTTGTTGTTGTTGTTGTGTGCCGTCGAGTTGTTTGTACCGTCGAACCACACAGCAGCTCTGAAGCCTGCCCTGTCCTGAGCCAGTCTCACTGACTCCAACACACCTACCCTAATTACCCCAGTCACTGAGTCAATCTATCTCATCTAGGGTCTTTCTCTCCTGCACTGTCCCTTCACCTTTCCAAGCATGATGTCCTTTTCCAGCAACTGGTCCCTCCTGGCCACATGCCCAAAGAATGTGAGGTAAGAGCTTAAAAATCCTAGCCTCCAAGGAGAAACTTGGTTTCACCCTCTCTAAGACAGACCTATTTTTTCTCTTGGTGGTTCAATATTCCTCCAGCACCACAACTCAAAGGCATCAATTCTTCTTCGATCATCTTTAGTCATTGTCCAGCTCTCTAATACACAGCAAGTAATTGTGAACACCATGGCCTGGATCCAGTGCACCTTAGTCCCTAGACTAACGTTATTGCTCTTCAGCACTTGGAAAGATCCCTGACAGCAGACTTCCCAAATGTAATTAGTCTTTCAATTTCCTGGCTACTGATGCCAAGAGTGTTGATTGTGGAGCCAAGCAAGCTGAAATTGTTAACAATTCCAATCTCCTCTCCATCTGTTGTGGTGCTGCCAATTGACCCAGTGGTGAGAATCATTGTCTTCTTGATGTTGAGCTTCAATCCATATTGAAGACTACAGTCCTTGACCTTCTGCAGCAAACGCTTCTGGTACTCCTCAGTTTCAGCAAGCAAGGCTGTGTCATCTGCATAACATAGGTAGTTGATGGGCCTTTCTCCAATCTTGATACCACATTCCTCCTCATAAACTTCAGTGTCCCAAATGATCTGTTCCACATACAATTTGAAAAGGTATGGAGACAGGGTGAGTCCCTGATGTACTCCTTTTCTGAGTTTGAACCATGCAGTGTGTTTCCTTACTCTGTTCTGACTACTTCCTGGTCCAAGTATAGGTTTTAGATAAGCACAATCAAGTGTTCTGGGATTCACAGTCTTCTCAAGGTTAGCCGCAGTTTGTTGTGATCCACACAGTCAAATCCCTTGACACAGTCAGTGAAATAGATATTCCTCTGGTACTCTTTGCTTTCCGCCAAGATCCAGCTGGCATTAGTGTCTGACATTGTGTCTCTAGTACCACGGCCTCTTCTACACCCAGCTTGTATTTCCAGCAGTTCTCTGTTGATGTACTTGTTCCAGTCAGTTTTAGATACTCTTCAGCAGGATTTGTTTGTGTCTGATCTTAGTGATATTGTTCAAAAACTTCCACATCTGTCAGGTCACCTTTTCTTTTGGAATGGTAATATACGTGGATCTCTTCCAGCCAGTGGGCCAGGCAGCTGTCCTCCAGATTTCTTGGCACAACTTGATGAGCTGGGTTGGGGTTTGGTTTTTGAGGGTTTGGGTTTTTGTCTTTTGTGGGTCTTTTTTTTTCTTTCAAAGCACTGCCCACCTTATGGCCACCATGAGCAGATAGGCTGGGGGTGCCAGAGCTTGGAGTTTGACTTGGTTTTCTCATCTGTAAGATGGGAGAATAGTAACCCCATGAAGAGCTGCTGGGAGGACTGAATAAACACTGTAAGAGTGAAGCACTGAGCACAGAGAACACAGAACCAGTCACACAGCCCCTTCCCTGGCCCTTCACAAAAACTCCTGAATTAATCTAACATTTGCAAGCATCAATCCAGACTGTGTCCGGAGCTAGACAAGAGTATAGAGGAGGAGACCAAAGAAGCTGTTTTTCCTTTTATTATGATCAATAGCAATAGACGCCATTTTCCAGTCTGCACCACCTTTCCCAGTGCTGGGTATGGAATCAATCACCGGCTCAGCCCTGCACCGCGGGGAAGCCCACTGGAAGCATGGGCACACTGAGCCTTCCCGCGAGCTAAGACTCATGCCCACCTTCATTCAGGCATGAGTGGAGCCCTGCCTGCCGGACTCCAAACCGGGTGTTCTTTTTGGAGCCTCCATATCAGTGCTTTTTTACGTGATTGCTAGTATTCTTTTTATAGAAAAATCTTTTTCATGAACTATTTTGCAATCATGTTTTGAAGGCACAGTCAATGAAACAGTACATGCATTTGAGGTCATTAAATGAAAGGGGGAAAAGACACAAAATTAAATTTATCATACGGTCAAACTGTATACCCAAAAAATTATACTGCAATTAGAGGGAGAAAGTATGAGAAAAAAGAGTAGAATGCTTGAATGTGTATTAATAGTATAACTATTTGTGTTTTCTCATAAGGAATATATGAACAAAAATACTATAAAGTTTAAAAAACCTCCAACTCATTGCTGTCAAGTCAAAGCTAACTCAGTGGACCCTCCAGCAGATTTTCTAAGTCACTAATTACCGTCGGAGGACATTACCCACATGTTTCACTCTGAGCAACGGATGGATTCGAACTCTGCTAACCTTTGGGTTAGTAGCACAGATCTCTACAGATTGTGCACCCAGGACTGCACTTAGAGTGGAATGCATGAAGCCCCCTTCACTGCATTTTCCCTTTGCTAAATACAATTCTGTTTTGTGGCAAGCCCATTGCCAGAGAGTAGATTTTGACTCATAGCAGCCAAGTGCTAAGTAGCTATCCACTATTTCCTCTTTAACTTACTAAAAAAATTCCAACACTCTCTTCAGGTACCAAAGGCCTGGCTAAATTTTATGTGGCAGGCAAATAGGATTGGCATATTTTGCAAATGAAAATACTAGATACTCAGCTAATTATGAATTTCAGATAAAGAATACTTTTGAGTATGTTTTAAATATTCCATGAGACTTACTTATCCTAACAAAATTATCCGTCGTTTATCTAAACCC